TTAAATTAGTACTAAAACGTACTTGTCAGTATATATTTTTCGATATTTTTTCCTCATTAATTTTAGTGATAAAACAGTCAATTTTAGATATTTTTTGACGTAAGTAATTAATTTTTTCATTAAATTGTGATCATTTTATTGTCAAAATGAAAAATATCAAAGCTATAATGAATTAAGCTCAATGAATTAAACTCAATAATGAGTGAGCTCAACTGTGACCTTGAGTAATTTTTCAAGGATTGAATTGTATTTGTATTTGTGTGTGTGTGTGTGTGTGTTTGTGTGTGTGTGTGAATTTCTCATGGCATTTAGTAGCTTGAACGATCAATATAAGTTAAATCTCCTGAAAATTTGAACTGGTTCAGACTGTTTTGTTGTAAGAAATCTGAAAAATAAAATTTTCAAAAAAATTTTTTTTTAGAGTAACTTCTTAACTATTATATCGATCAGTTCTAAAAATTACTCAGTTCTGAACTTCAAAAAACAACATTGAATGCCACAAAGCGCGTCAAAATTGGTTAATTTTTTCAAAAGAAATCCTATAATAGTTTAAGTAATTTCAAAAAAGTGTTTTATCAAAGCAACAACTAGACTTCTAAATTCTCTAAGCTGCGTGGATGTAAGGTAATTTATATTGATGCACCGTAGATTTATCAGGACTTTTTCACGTACAAATAGCTACATTTCTAGAACAATTAAGTAGACGATCGTAAATATTATTCCATCAGTTTTGACGTATTTAATTAAAAACAAGCTAAATTCGATATGAATGGAGAGATAGAGAAATATCTGTTCTGTTAGCACTGTGGTGATAATTTTTACTGACATGTTTCAATAAAGCATTAAACAATAAATAGTTCCAAGATCAATAATAAGTAAAACTGAAAAATTTTTATTATAAATTAGAAAATGTTGTGATAACTCATAACAAAAAATCATTAGTGTAATTAAAAAATAAATGATAAATATATTAACTGTTGAATTTTGATGAAATAAATTTCATAGTTGTCAATTAATAAAACATAATGATTCGTAGAATAACTTTAAAGTTTCGTAAAATCAATAAAAATGACGATAAAGTGAAATTTACACATTATTTGGGAAAAAATTCTTAGCAATAGCGATTTTGACAAATTTGAAAAATTTAAATAGCCACGGTTTCTAAGTTTGTTCATTTTTAAACTCTTGTAAAGTTAAAAATATGTGATGACAAAATTGGATAAAAATTCCACCGTGAGGTTACAAATAAATCAAACAAAAGAAAAGAACTAAAAAAGAAAAAGAATTAAAAATGTATTATTAATGTTCATCAATCAGATTAAAATAATCTTCTGATTTAAAAATGTCATCAAATGTAGAAGTTATTAATAAAGTTACATAATATGCGCTCACTTAACAATCGATTGTTATCTTTTCAATGATTTTACCTCAACCAACTTTTCTCGTGGGAAATTAACTTTTTGCACTTAATTATTTTATGCATCTATTGTTCTGATAACTTCAGTAAGGTAAAAAATATAATTATCAGGTAATTCAATGACAAAAAGCGATTTAATAATTGTTACATAGTTTTTATTCATTTGAAATGTTTTAAACAAAAGTGGTTCTAGTAATTTATAATTACTATTGCGTCAGTTATCTCGTTGATTTTTGTGTAATACTTATGTATATTTGCACATATAGATATATATATATATACACTTAACGACAGTTTATTTAACTAATCGATATGTCAAATATAATCTCTGAATAATAAAATATCTGAAAGACTATTGTTTTATAAATATAATTATTGTGGAACATCAACACATTTTTAAAATTGCAATATTTTATTTCAATTCAATATTTAATTTCAAGTTTATTATAATTTTTTTTTCTTAAAATATCGTCTCAGCAAGAATACCAAGTATTCGAGCTCCTTCGTTTTTGTTGTTTGTGAAAGAAGGCATGTATATTCTGCCTATGTTTTTGGTGTATTATAATTCTCATTATTTTTGATTGTCTTCATTTTATTTTGTGTCTAACGGCACTGAACAAATAATACTAATAATTTAAGTAAAATTCTACATTTATTATTTATTTAATTATCAAGATATTCAAATAATTACACGTTCAATACATGTCATTCAATAAGATGATAAAACAGAAAAATCTTATTTGATAAATAAAGCAATTTAAATAATTTTAGCCAAAAATTGATAAAATAATCGACTTAAATTAAATTTGATTCCATACATAAAGTTATAAAAATTATATCAACTAATTTATTTATCTTATGAATAAACTATTCAAAATATACTAAAAAAGGAAGTCCTTGGAAATTTATTGGAGTAGTTTTACTAAAATGGAATTTTTTTCAACTTGTACTTTAAATATACTTAATGGTTAAAAAAAATACGGTTAGATTTAAAAGTAAAATATTTAATACAAAGGCCAAGTCGGTTTTTGATTTAAGATAAAACACTAATCATTGTAAGTCGGATTACTTAATAATTATATTTAGATATATTTTATTAAATATAGTGTTGTAGTATAGTTAGAGATATAAATGTATTTGTTAATTAGGTTGAAATACAATATATAATTATACAAAATTGATTATATCGTGAAAAAATTGGCAGTTTCATTTTATCGATAATTTAAAAAAACAATGAAGAACAACAGTTCGTAAAATATGACGAATGTTTGTTCTTCAATTAGAATATGTTTGTTTTTATTAGGATTTCAAAAATTTTTTATTAATTAATCAAAGATAATGAGAATTTTTAATACTTTTTTAAACATATTGGAGCAAATTTTAATTATAATACATTATATCTGGTTTTTCCTATAAATATATGCTATTTTAAGATTTATACACTAAAATATAACTAGTTTGAAATTAATGGTATTACGATTACATAATAGTCTATGACCTACTCTATGGTAATAGTCGGAAAAATTTGAATCTTCTAATCCGATTTTTTTTGTACTTTTTTTTCAGTGGTTTTTTTATTTTATTACTTTGTTGTAAGAATTTAAAATCAATTAATCAAACATACCATTTTTGTTATATATCATAAAAATAGTTTAGACTAATCTAAGTAGTGACAATAATAATGAAAATAATAAAAATAATAATAATAACAAGATTATTCATGTCACACAAAATATATACTTATGTATACATTATTTTAAAACAAATGATTACACAGAAACAAAAATCAAATAAAATATATACAATTTTCATATGATGTAATAAAATCGTGTAAAACCATATCACGAAAGTACAAGAATCATAATTTTACACATTAATAGTACTTATCTCAAAATCAAATTATAAACGTAACATTTAATGATCTTGACAACTCATATGGGCCGGAATCGTTCTTAGATAATTAAAAGAATTCAAGAGTTTTTTTTATTAATTTCTTTTTTAAATTAATTACCAAGCTTAAAATATGACATATGCACTCTGGAATTCAGCCCATTATTTCAGAATTTTTTTACATAGAGTTAAAGTTTTTCTGTGATATTCAATAAAAAAATTTCATTTCTTCTCTAAGCATTCTATATAAACTTATCGACATATAATTTGTTGTATCCAAGAATGTTATTATCTTATAATTAAAATTTTAAGCTTGAAAAACTTTGTCATCATTCAAAGTACTGGAGTTTTAGAACTCTTTATATTAAGTGTTTAATTTTACAAATTAAGGTTTTACATAGTAATTGATAATTAATTAAGTACTAAAGCTTTTTTAAAATTTTATTTTAAAAGACAATCCTAGAAATATAATTTCACAAAATAATATTTGAAATTTTTGCAGGCTTAAAATTAACTATAGAGACTATAAGACTAAAAAAATATTTTTTTGTGTAAATTTTTCGTATAGATAAAGTAGAAACAATGATTTATCGATGAAGCACGATAAAGCTTACCAAGCACTTAAAAGTGTTGAAAAATGTTTATTTTCATCCATTATGGTAATTAAATTTAAAAAAAGTGCGGCTGAAAATTTTTACTAGACTATTTACAAGGTGTCTTAAAATACAATAGATTTGAGCATAATCAGTAGGTAAAAAGCTTTTGAAAAAAATGATTATAAAATTACATTCAAGTTAAAAACTGATATATAATAAAGCAAATAATAAATTAAAAGTTGATTTTCTATGTACAATTCATTTAAATTCAATTCAAAGTAGATTAAACGTGACTATTGAGCAATTGTAGAATATTTCAATTATATAATAATATAAAGACTAGAATTTATAATGATGTTTATAATTAACTGAAAATATGATGACTTAATATTTTCTGGACGAAAGCTTTTGTTTTTTTCGTTGATTTTTGATATTTGAGTTACGAAGATTTGTATTTTTATCTATTTCATACATGCACATTAAAAATGTAGCTATAAAAATATTCAAGTAATAATTGAAAAACACTTTCATGACTAACTAAATCCTAAAAAAAAACCATAGATAAAATTTAATATAAATATACTGATAAAAGATTTCATCAATTAATGGACAGTATTCTCGAATCAGTCAAGAATAACGAACCTTTTTAAAATTATATTGCCGTATTATAAACGGTACTTATCAAATAAAATGCAGCATAATTAAAAGAAAATACATATCAATATGTATTTAAATAATTATCAGTCCTCATCTTTCATGTAAAGCTAAAGTTAAGAAATTTTAGTTAATAAAAAATAATAATAATAATATTAATAATTTAATAATTACTATCATAATTAATAATATTATTATCATCATTGTGATTATTATTAATATATCGCAACCAGACAATAAGATTTTATCAATATTATTCCTATTTTAAACGCAAAAATTATACAAGACAGTAATTGAACTGTATTGAAATGTAATAATTAATGCTAAGATTTATAAATTATAAAATACAATGACTAACTAACTTGATATTTTAGAAAATGGGCCATTCCAAAGTATTACTTTAATCATTAATCATTAAAGTTTAATTTGTTAATGCTGTAAAATTAACACATAGTTTCGGAAGCTGGTGCAGGCACAGTTCCTTCATCAGTTGGATCTTTATCATCAGCTTCACGTATAGCTGGTGGTCTCGACAATGTCTGTTCGATTTCCCGTGTAACGCTAATAGTTGGTGGTGGTCTTCGTGATTCTTCATCAATAGCTGATGATCTGCGCAACATTCTATGTTCATTGGTAACACTAAATTTAAATTTCGAGGTTACTTCATTATCTGAATCTTCATTACTACTTCTCATGTATCTTCTATGAATAAGATCCTCCATTTGTTGATAATCACATTCTTCAGCATCACGTAAGTGTTCATTTTCCATTTGCCATGCCATTTCTGGATTCATTGCGACAGCATTTTTCGATCTACAAGGTGGAGGTGATACTGGAGGAGTTCGCGGAGGACTTAAAAGCCCACAGTAACTCTCTAATTCATCAGTAATACTGGTGTACTCAGCACGCATAGCTCGTAAAAGTGACCTTTGATTAGATCCACCAGAAGATCCTGGAGGGATCATCGCAACACGAGGTTCACCCCATTTAATTCCTCGTTGTAAGCCAGGTGGTGCAAGCAATACAGCATCATCAGATTCTGATCGAGTTCGACTGCTTTGTCTAGTCGGGCGTTCTGAAGAATCTTGCCGCATATCTGATATTGCTATATCACTACTTGTATCTCGTTCAACTTCTCGCCTAAGTGGTTTCAATTCAGGTTCATTAATATCTTTACTTTCAGCACTTTCTTCTTGACTAGTTGTTAATGTTTTCTTATCATCTGGTCCTGTTGTAGGAATATCACCACTAGAAGAAGATCCATTTCTGCTAAGATTTTCACGAGATGTTAAAGTCTCTGAGTGTTTTAAAGTTTCGTCGTCAACAAATGGGCTGTGACGCACTGTTGCATCAGTTAATGATCGTATTAAACGTTTCTGTCGTAATACAGTGGGAATATGAGTATGAGACTCAGTATCAGATACCAATTCAGATCTTTCAGAAACTCTTCTTGGACGCATTTCACCACCATCTAGATTAGCTAAATTTTCATCAGACATATGAGTTGCCATAAAACGATGAATAACACCAAGACAAGCTAAAGTTTGTTCGTTTAGATCTTCAAGTTTCCGAATACGAAATTCAACAGCTTGTAGTGAAGCATTCTGATTGTGTTCTTTTTTATCAATATCTTCAATTTTTTGATGCATATTTTCTACTCTCTCAGTTGTAACTTTAACACGTTCTTCCGTTGACATTTGAAGCTTTAATTCTTGCTCTCTAAAATAACCTTCGACACAATCTTCCTCAAAATCATATAAACGCTCCATATCGTCAGCCTCTAAGAAAAGCTTTAAACCATTATCATACGTTTCTCCAGAGCGCATTTCACCTTGTGTTATATACCGTAATAAATATTTGCCTAATAAATATAGATGACTTACTGCAATAAATGGAGGAGGTAAAACAGGTTTTTGCTCATATTCCATTACTACAGTAAATCTTTGAAACATCCATACTTGATGAGCTACCGCATTTACTTCAATAAAAATATTGTTAAAAACAGCTATCAAAAGATTTATCAAAAGAATATTAGCTACTAATAAATAAATCGACATAACGGCTGGCGTTATCCATCGACCTGGTAAACACGGTTTCATACTAGGTTCTTCGCCACAATCAGGATCGATATTGTTTGCATACACTTCTCCATAAAGCATAAAATACGGCTCCATAAATATCTGTTAATAATGATAAAAGATATTTTATTTAAAACATAATCTATGCACATAATAATAATAGATTATAACATCTCTTACATCTCGAAGTATTTGCCATTTCGGTTCTGCATTGGGATTTAAAATTGCCTGCCTTGCTACCCCAAAACTCATCAATACCACAAGTAAAAGAACAACAAAGTATATCATATTTTTCACCATTTTACCCATCATAGTAACCAACGGACCTACATTAATATTAATATTTGTATTACCAACACTTGAAATATTGAAAAATTCTTACTACAGTTATTTAAGTAACTAATTACCAAGATATTTATTGACACCAAGAATATTGAGAATTCTAAGATACCAATATATACTATCCGCACAGTAGATAACACGACCATAATCAAATGTTGATTGACGAAATCTGAGTCCTAAGCCAATAATGAATATAATTATAGCGCCAGCATCACATGGATTCCACATATTCCATGACCAAACGCTAAATTTATGTGATAAAGTGGCGGGTTCTGATGTTGCGATTTCTCGAATTTTTTCACATCCCAATGTGCATATATAAGCTATTGAATAAATTTCTGTCCATCCTGGATACTCTTCCATTCGAACGAGGATAGAATACGAGAAAAAAATCAGAAATAGTATGTATGCTATCTGCAATTGACGAAATTTTAATTGCAATTGATTATTATTTTTGTTAATAATATGAATTTTTTATATTAAAATTAAATGAATAATAAAAAAAATAAAACTTACGGCATTTGCCCAAAATTTAGTTATTGGTGCTGTATAAAATTCCCATAACTTTTTTTTTAGACGTAATGGCCTGTTAGTTTTATTATCATAATATTCTGATAAAATACCATAAGGCCGATGAAGATTGTCATCTATTTCAGTGAGAACTTTGCCATTTTCTTGAACTATTGTTTCTTTGATGATGGCAGGATTATGCTCATTGGTTATCAGAGCCTGAACACAAGTATAATGAAAACACATTATAATTTTAATAGCCCGATTAATATCAGTCAATAATCGAAAATAAGACATATAAAACCATTTTACAGTGACAATAGCAGAATGTTATTATTTTAGTGTACCACAGTACTTAAAATAGAATTAAGTTGTAAATAATGATTGATTATGATCAATTTAAATAGCTATGAATAAATGATATTTTTTATCGATAAAAATAAAGTTAAAGTAATATATACACGTATCATAAAATAGATTATCAATAGCATGAGTAATTATTTGTTAAATTTTAAGTATTAATTGGCAGAGCATGAAAATTCATAACAAAAATTATCCAATAATAATAGGACACCACAGAATATTGATTTAAAAAAAAAAAAAAAAAAAATGATAATAAATTAACTTTATTACAAATTTGGAAAATGGACGACAAACTGATCTATAATAAAAGCGTAATTTAATGTAATGTGACGAAATACAGCGTTTTCAATTTTTTTTTTTATAACGAGTAAATAGCTTTTGCAAAACGTATAAAAATAATTTTGGTACTAAAATTGACAACGCTGTCTTACTCATAAGAAATAACACAAAAGAGAAGTAATTAATAAAAATAGATAAACGATAAAATGTGCGTAAAAGATATCAGACATAACTATTGCATTTGATATTATCCCACTTCTAATGTGAATATACCTTTATGCCCGGTTGATTGTCAGGTTTGTTGCAAATACTGAGACTTCTGCGTGGCCGTTTCTAAAAAAACAAGCGATTTGCGTAGCTAAACTAGTTATGAGAGCTACTGATGAAGTTTCACTTTTTATACAACATAACTAAATGTGGTCAAATATTCAAAATATATCTTTTAAAAATATGATTTTTTCGCTCAAATAAATAATAATAATAATAATAATAATAATAATAATAATAATATTGACTTTGATAATTTCATATAATTACCTCAACGTCTGGTCCTGGTGAAGCACCGTGCTCTGATTCACTGTCCTCATTTTCATCTTCTAAAGCAATTAAATGTTCTTCTTGCGTCTGAGGCATCAACTGCAGCTCTTCTCGAGTCTTAAATTCTAGTTGTGCTATATATGGCGGAAATAGCAATCCAAGACCCACCTAAAATAAATAAAAGTCAATAAATAATGTATAATAAAAAGATACATTTATGAAAAATTTTCAAATCAAACTATAAAACACCTTTAAATTCGTATTTTTTCGTGTTCGCAGACCACCCATCCATAAATCTGCTAAAATAATCTGACTGCATGGATGAGCTAGTAACGGTCGATGGTTAGCTGTTACTGCAAGGGATAAGCAAGTTTGTCCAGACCAATTTTGAAGTTCAGAAGTTAATAGCTGTTGAGTTTGGTCATCATCTTGTCGATAGCAATAATCTAACAATTCCAAAGCTAGATGAAAAAATTTATTAAATAATTAATTATGAAAATCTTATTACTATTATTGTCACTCAATAAATTACAAATTACCAATATTTTCAAATTCTTTTCCGTAACCACGGAGCTCATCATAAACTTCAGTTTCTAGATCATCTTCAGCTGCTTCATGGGCCATAGCTTTATATAATTTTAAAGCAACAAGAGCCTTCGCTAAAGCTTCTTCGCCATGTTGCCACATTAAAAGTGCCATTTGCTGTCGTTTTGTTAACACAGCCCATATAAGTAATTCATTAAATGGATAATCGAATAAAGGTGTATCTCGATTTGCTGGCAGTGTTTCAGCTAATAGACTCATAGTTAAACCATTAGACTTTTCTCCGAATCCCGTATAATAACGTGCCATTGCTACAGCCGTACTGTTTCGATGGGCTGACATATTATGAATTCCTGAACGCTTCATAACTTTGGCGTAAACCATTCGGAATTTTCTACGAGTATATTGAGCTCGATATGCTCCACCCATGAGTTTATTGATAACAAGACCAATATCATGAAGGGTATACATATAACCACGAGGAATGTGTGGTCGTACATCTCGGAGAATATAACCTAATGTATTTGATGGTCCTTCTTTGGTATTGTATAATTCTTCCAAACGTGGTATAGATAAAAATTTTCTCATTGGTACGCCATTTTCAAGAAGAAGTTTTACAAAATCAATTCTATCGTGTTGTAAAGCTTGCATCATTGCCTGTTCTAAGGAACCAGGCGGCCATTTTTGACCATAAACAAAAATTTCACTACGAGCAATATCAACTCTATTCCATATGAGCGCTAATGATAATTGTTCAGTTGGAGATAATTGTTGTGATTTGAATAATGCAGTCAAAATTGTTTGATCAAGTTCATGTGGTCCATCTTGAGTTATCCTGAACACAGTGATCTATCAAATAAATATAACAATTAAGATTATAATAATAATAATAATAATAATTCAAAAAAACTCCTTAGATTCTGAAACTATTTTTTATTTTTTATCATCTCATTAAAAATAACTTACTAAATGTTTTTTACGAGTACATTGAAGTAATTCAGAATATAATTGTGCTGCTTGATCTTGCGAAACTTTAAAAGTATCTTTAATTTTTTCGAATAAATGTTCTTTCATACTTTCCAAACGAACATCACTTGTACTATCACTATCGCCCTCAACTGCATACCTTGAAAATCCAATAAAAATAAAGATTTTCACAAAATATTCTCACTTAATATATAATAAAGAGATCAGTACCCAGCCCTTGACGCGTAGTTAATTATGATCCTGTAAATTTAAATAAATTGACCAACTACTGATTCGGGGCTGACTATTAATGCTCTTACCCTATAAATATAATATTTATTCTTATGCCAAATCATATTTAACTTGGCTTTTGTATTTCTGTTAGATGATTTTGAAAAAAACATTGTTAAAATTTTTATGATAAAATTATCATTGTAAAAAAAAAAAAGATGTCAAAAAAATTCCCATTAAATATCTTTTTTACAACGAATAAAAAGTGTTTAAAAATTCAAGAACCAAGTGGTATACGATTTGCCATGAAATGTCATTAATGTATATGTGCTGAATATTCATACTTATGCATGAAAGCAATAATATCTGCAGCCCGTCCCGTTCCATCGCAAACAACCACGGGAACAGGAGGATCATCAGTAACGTATTCGAGAACCGATCTGACAGTATTAGTTCCACCCTCAATAACTAATGCAACGACTGGAATGCTACTATGTGTATCTATAAAATAAAATAAAATTATAATTTACCAATAATTATTGAATGGAAATTTATCGGGTTATTGGATTTCGATTAGTAACTGTAATAAAAACTTACATGGTTGTAATTTTAAATTTGATATATATTTTTCGAGTTTCCGTCGTAATACTATTTCAGCGCCATATCGCCCACCAGTACCATTATCGACAAGCAAAAAGTAAGCATGACGATTATTTAACACCGCATATTTTGACCTATGATATTGTCGGAATTAGTATCGTTTTATTCTGATATATTACCTGCTATATTATGCTCAATAATTACCACGGAGATGATATTGAGTCATAAGGGACTTCATTTCCTCGTCCTACTAATTCGTGGTTTTTTTCGAGTATTCCCCAAGGTGCAATTCCTATACTGACAACACGACCTTGTCGCTGTGCACGTTCTAATAATAAAGCATCGCCTACTTGACGTGTAACGCCTGAAAATAAATAAGAATAATAATTTACTTGATTCATAATAAATTTATAAAATAATAGAATCAAAAAAATTAATTAATATTAAAACTATTTTAATACCAGTATTTGTCCCTCCTGTAAATATCCATGCTCCAGTAGTCTTAGCGGCCTTTAAAAGCCCTTTACGTAATACCTTTTTCAAAGATGGCTGAAGTTCAAAATTAGATCTACCTCCATGAACGGTTATCAATAATCTTGGTAAACCTAAATTCCATTCGCGACATAAAAGTTGAACTATTGGCTCTGGTCGAGTGTCATGGGATAGTCGAACATACTACAAATAGTTTAATAAAATTATTTCTATAAAAACATACAAAACAAATATTAATTATATTTATTACTAATATCAATGTATGATATTTACTTGAGCTTTAGTAGGATGAGGGCCACCTTGAAACTCGATAGTACCATATGCATCAGTAGCTAAAGAACGTGTATTTTTTCCTGGTGACCACTGATCCCTTTCTACTTCAGCTGCATTTCCAGTTGCATAATTTTGTACGTCTGCCCCTGTCCCACAATGATGAGTATAGGAATGACCACAACAACATCTGAAATAATACATGAAAAAATATTTAATTAGTTAGGGTAATATAAAAAAATTCATTTACAGTTTCCAACTTTAGTTAACAATTTCAATTTCTCACCATTACAGTTAAAATAATAAATTATACTCATTACATAACAAATTTTCATTTGGAATTCGATATTTTAGTTTAAATAAGAAAACAAAGTCTATTTTTTTTATACATAATACAAAGTACATATAATATTTTCATAATTTTGCATATATTTAATGATAAGCTTTTAAAGCATAGTGTTCAAAGCAATACCGAGATGGATGATTATAATGCAAGTGCTTTATAAACAATAAAGATACAATATCTAAAAATACTGTTATTTTATTAGTTTTAAGCATTAATTTAATATTGCAGAAACATAGCAATAGTGAAATTTCAAACGATGACATATGATATATGACCCTATCAACTCTCACCTGGAAGACGTGACTACATCGTACTCGGCAGATTTATCTCCCCGAACTTCTTCAAGCCTACGAATGGAATGGAGAAAAATAATAAAATAAATAAAAAAAAAAAACTAAAAATAAATTCAAAAAAAGATATATAATTTTTTAAGTTTATACTATAAACAATAAAAAGTAATAATTCTCTATGATATAAAACAATTGAAATTATTAGAACAGGATTGTTAAATTGACATTTGTATTACTCATCAATGAAATAAAGAAAGAAACCATTAAGAAGCTCTCAATGAAATTATTAATTAATCAGAAAATGATGTTCATGAGTGATAAATTTCTATATTAATATGTTATATGAGTTAGTGATTCAGATAATAAAGATTAAAAAAAAAATGAACTTATATCAGATAAAATATAATTAAATGCAAGAACAAGTATTTATTGAAAAATATTGCAGAAAAAGATTATGTTTAATTTATTAAACTACAATCAAACTCAATATTTATATAAAGTATAAATATTATTCGCTTGTGAATGTGAGCAATGATGAAACATTTTTTGTGTCATTGCGCCTCATAATTTTATCATAGTATTAATTAAAAATTATAATAATAAAATTTTAATAAATTATAAATTTAATACTTTACCTGTGTTCATCTTTTGCGCTTGGTATAAATTTCGTACATTCTCTTTTTTGAAATGTCGCTTCTATCCAACTGCGTTCTTGAGTCTAAAATACATTTAGATGAGTATTTACAGACATTTTAAATTCACTTAATGAATGTATTTAATTTTAAATGCGTTAAAGAATATTTTAATGAATGGTTAAACTAAATAATAAAATAAAAGTGTCTTTACAAATATACCTTGTTTTTCTTTCTTTTTGTTTTTGGAGTATTTACTCCGCAAATAACACTTCCTATTGCCATGCTGAGTTATTTATATTAATATTCTTTTTATTTTTCACTTTATTAATAAATAATAAATCAACTAAAAGAAAAAAAAATACAAAACATATTTAACCCAAATAATATTAATTTACAAGAAAACAAACTAAAAATTAACTTTTTATAACAAACATTTTAATTAATGATAAATATTTAATGAATTGCAGAATACTGAAAAAAAAAACTGATGAATAATTTAGAAATATAAAATAAAATAATTTAAATGCTGAGTGTTAATAAATAAAAATAGAATGACGTACGTACCGCTCTTATAATTTTAGTCTTTTCAATCATGCCTACTCATGTGAAAGACTTTTTAAAATTTTCTAAAATTATTGCTGTGATAAGTTTACAATAATTTTTTTGTTTAAAACATGAATCATGAATCATGAATCACGAATCGTAAACGTTCCTCCGGCGAATTCACGGAGTAGACCAATTGCTTGCTAAAAAATTACAATAAAAATTTTTATCAATATTTCATAATCCAAATATTAGTATAATAATAAGATTAATAAAACAATAAAATTATCGTTATTTACTTTTTTCATCACACCTTATAAAAATTATTATGTAATTATTAAATTATACGAATATTTTCATAATAACACGTTATAAAAATATTTAATTATTTTGATGATTTAAATATATTATTGTAAATAACACTTTTTTATTTTTTATTTTTATTCCAACAAAAGCAAATGAATACTTAGTATCTTACTTATCAGAGTAAATTTATCTGATCTATATTGTCACAGTAACAGTAGAGAATGACAATGGCATTTAACTTAACCCTTCAAATATAAAAAGTATACGATGTTCAAAAACAGAAATAAAATAAATTAATCATAAATAGATATAATAATATAGAAAATAAAATTTTATAAATTTGCCCATTACCTTGATAAAAAACGAATCAGGTCCAGTAAAGGTTCCAATTACAATGTAATAAATCATACTCTTGATAAAATTATGTCTTGCAATAATTTCACTCTGGCTCACATGATACCTTAGTTTTTCTGCTACAATGACAGTTGCCTGGGAAACCAAAGACCAAGTTATCTTAAGAAAAAAACTCATGAGCTTATTTTATCCTCGAATGACAATTAACATTATTAAGCTTGTGATTTTGTTCTATATTTTGTACGTGTGACATATTCATTCCGAAAACTGAACATGTGATTCTGTCAATTAATTATCACTATACAAAAATTACAACCCGAGTTACTGTTTCATAATAGGTTATAGGTTATGTTAGTTACTATGATTATTGATGTAAATAATATATTACATTGTTACATGTTAATTTATTAGTTTAATTGTTCGTTGTATAATTTTGAGTGTTTTATTACATCCACACCATGGAAAATATACACATCTAAATATCTCACAAGCAAGGTTCGAGCCAGCTCTAGTTCTGTCCAACTCTCGCGCCACTGACCATGAACTATTTTGTGACGAGAGAGTGAGAGAGAGAGAGAGAGAGAGAGAAACAAGATTTATAACGCATACATCATGGAATACATACATGAGTATAGATATATATAGTATATAATATAACACATACATGTATGTCAATTTTGTTTTTAATAAGTAATAAATATATTAAAAAAAATTTTAATCCTTTAAAAACGACAGAGCTTAAAATTTTAATGATTTTTTTCTATATATTTTATGAAACATCGATTTTTTTCTAAGTTGAAAATGAGTGTTAATTTAATAATTTTTCACTCTTTTTATCTTGATACCTTTTGAATTGTCTATTTATCATAAAAAATATGAGATCTCCGTCTCATCGGACATTTTTTTCAAGTCAGATAATTTTTTACTTTATTTGAAAAATTGTTTCAAAAATATTTTTAAGGTAATCCATTCATAGTTTTTTTTTTTTTTAATTTTTTTTTACAATTATTTATCCATTGAAAAATCACTAAAAAATATCACATGATTGAAGATTTCAGTATTATCTTTTTTTTTCTAGGTTTATTTTGATCCATTCAAACATAAAATGAGGCTGTTATAGGTAAAAATTAATTTTTGAAATAAAAATAACCCATACTTACATAAAAACATACAAATTTTTCTTAATTTTTTTTTAAGATAAATTTCAATAATTTTCAACTAAATTAATTCCTGACTCCATGTAAATTATTTGTGCTCAAAAGACTACATTGAAAGGGATAAACCAAATTGAAATTGAACGACGTGTTCATAAGATACCGCAGTTCTAAAATTTGACAAGTCGATAAGCTCAATAATCTTTTCCTACTCACGTATATTTTTGCGCGCTTTGAGCTAGAGCAACTAGGAATTTCATAAAACTTCCCTATAAGGATGGTTTACAGGGTCCTTTTATATTTTCAGAATGATGTAGATCTCAAAATATTATAAAGAGTCAAAAAATAGTCCGTTAATTTTCAGATAGGGTCTAATGATAGTTTATAATGACTATCAAATCATTTAAGGAGTTAGGGGTAGTCAGAGACATGAAAAAATGAGAATTTTCAATAATTTTTTTTTGCCAGTAAATCATTTTATTTTATAAAAGTAATAATATGACATCATTACTCCATGTTTTGACTTGACTTCATGAAAATTTGAAAAAAAAAATTAATAATTTTTTTTTTTTTCAAATTTTCGTGAACTGCAGTTCCAAAGAAAGGTTCTTACGGTGACCATCATATATCCTTGGAGATTCATGTGAAATTAATCGGACAAGAAAAAATAGTTTTATTAATAGATAATCTAGTGCCTGATCGAAGCTTTTTTTTTTTTTGAAAATTAACAAAATGGCGCCCTCAGGAAATTTTTCTCTAGATTTTCGGGAAAAAATCAACAGTTAATTGTTTATAAAAATCGAAATTTTTGAAAAAAATAAAATCCTTCGATCAGGCACGAGTTTTTTATGTTTCCCAAAAGCTGTATAAGTTGCATTGAAATCTACTGAGCGGTTTTCGAGTTACAGTGGTCACAAGTTCAAAAAACATAGTTTTGAGAAAAACGCATTTAAAGTATTACACTATCGAGAGCTACCTGCTCTCGAGCGTTCTGGAATGCCCGAGCGCCCGTTGTTATTTGTCGAATAACTCGAAAAATATTTTCCTAAAAAATCCTGACTACTCCTAACCCCTTAAACATATTGTAATTAGTATTTAAGAGATAAAAAAATCTCGAAATTATTGTAAAATTTTTAATTCTTCGTTGGTTATACTAATGAACGAATGGTTTTATATACTATGGTCGAATAATAACTATTTCTTCATGAGTTTAAGATCATTAATAAAGAAGAAATAGAACAGAGAAAAATCAAGTTTTTTCCGAATCTTTTGGAAAAATCTAAAGTATTTAAAAATTTATAAAACCTAAATATTGAAGAGTTTTTTAAAACAAGTCCAAGTATTCCAAAGGCTGCAAAATGTCTTTAATCCTAACAGTTTTATAAAAACTCTTGAATACAAACGCGGTTGAATAAAATTATTTTTATAGTAAATTATTATTTAGAAATTATACGTGATTTTATAGATCCGCTAAAGAATGGGTTCCGCTTAAGCATGTGGAACAAATGTATTAAAAAAGTAGGTATTGTGATTACTTAATTATTTACTATAATTGATTAATGTGGATAAAAATGTATTGGAATAATAAGATATTCATAACATGCCACGTGTCGTACAAAATAGCAATATGTTAATAATAATAAATAACCTTGTCTACTCCGAAAAGAGATGGGTTCTCATAAATTATAACAACTCGGGATTCTTTACATGGATACGGATATGAATATGAATACTCTTTAAAATAAATGTCGACTTATATAGCTATATTGTATTTAATAAAGATATTAAATTAATAATAATGACAAAATATATTATAGTTAGTAATAATTAACGATCAACCTTCCGTTACTCGCGCTTTCTCTAATATCTCACTCGTATTCACGCCAACTCTATTGGGTTGAATAGTGTTGTGCGGGGAATCGCCGTATAGCGCGAGTAACGAAGGGTTAATTAAAAACTGTTTACTCATTTTTAAGTAAATTTTTATAATTATATTTTTGATACACTGTCAGTTTTTAATCGTGCTGAGAGAAAAAAAACAGCGTGACCAGATAAAGTGATTTACAATAACAGTAATAACAACACAATAAAATATACGAGCAAGAGTAATACAAATAAGTAATGAGTTTGTACCGGAAATCACATTGATAGCCATCACAACGATCGACATCAAGGTGTCGGTTTCACCAGATTTTTAGGATTAAATCAACATAAGCATAAAATTAAACAATCTATAATTAAAATGATTAAAAATAAATTATCTGTTTTATATGTTTACAAAAATTATTTAAATATAAGTACGCAGATTTCATTTTGATATTTTAAATGCTGAATACTTTAAATTACAAATTGATAGATTAATTTTAGATTGAGATTATCTAGCAGTTGCCATATTCGTTAATATGATTAATGAGTAGCAACTTGTTTTGTGAGCCAATTGCACATTCAATTGTGTTTAATCAGTAGGTAGACTGGGATATGGGCAAGTTCCTGTGTATTATGTCCAAGTTTTGTTATTCAAGGTCAAATTTCTGTTGATGATTAAGTGATTAAGTTATTAATCACAAAAATATAATAAATACATGATATAAGAACTGAGAAAGTGCAATATCTCTTAGGAAGTAACAATTATAAATTAGTTATCGAATGATTCATCTCAATAAAAATTTGTAAATGGCATCAACGTTCACGAATAAGTGCCAAAAACAGCTCACCGAGTAAATAGCAAGGTCAACTTAATATATATTATCTAAAAGTAATTTTACTTGTTTAAATTTGTCTAAAAGGTAATAGAAATGTTTTAACAAAAATAAAAAAAAATCTTAAACAATATTTTTACCATATTAGTCTTTTATTGGTATATATCACAATAATATTCGATAATTAAGAGTAAGTAAGATAAAAAACTACTTACTGTTATTAACTAATTTGACATAACAAATTATAAATTGAAGGCCACCGTTAGATTATGCATAATCGAAAAAAAAGGTGGGAATTAAATAAATGCAGTTGTATGTATGAGACCAAAATAATACTCTATGATAGAATAGATGTATTGTCAATGTGTGGCGTATTTACACGCCCTACCGACTTGCCGAATCGTTTTAAGTGTAGTAGGCGATAAATATATAGACCAGTGGAGCTTTGATCGGACATCAGTTTGAAAAGAACTTACGAAGCTAATAAATCTCTCTAAGTGAATCGAATTTGTTATTTGAAGTTATTATTCAATAAAAATATTTTGTGAAATCTAAAATGGCACTTGTACCATCAAATTACTGGCGGGACTGGTGGGACGACGTTGAGAGGCCACATCGTTGGCTGGATCGTCACTTTGACCTTACAATTCGCAGAGATAGCTTAATCAAACCACTCACCACACCATATTTTCGGGATTACTTCCGACCTTGGAGAAATTTATTGGATGAAGTGAATACAGATTTGGGTAAAATCGAAAGTGACAGCGACAAATTTCGTATTACCGTTGATGTTCAGCAATTTTCACCTCATGAAATAATTGTTAAAACCGTTGGGAATTCAATAATTGTTAAAGCAGAACATGAAGAAAAAAATAGTTCACGTGAATTTGTCTCGAGAAAATTTATGAGACGATACGATTTACCAAAAGGTCACGATATTACTAGAGTCATGTCTAGTCTTTCAACCGATGGTGTATTGACTATCACTGCTCCTAAATTTTGTGCGCCTATTCGAGGTGAAAGGATCATCCCTATTAATCGCACATATTTTCCTTCACTTAAGCTGTAAGCATCAATTTTCAATGTGAAAAATCGCTAATGAGAGGGCTATAAATGTTTTCTTTTCCCAACTGAAACGACTCTGACGAATAATAGAGTAGATAAATAATGAGATTTTCATTATTCCGATAGTTACTTAACGAAAAATAATAAAATGAAATAATGTATAATTATATTGATTGATGTATTTCGAATTATTATACGATAATTATTAATACTGTGAAAAATAAAAAAATTAATTGCAAGTATTTATTTGTTTATACTTTTTTTTTTTTTTTTTTTTACCAAATTCACTTTGTATAATATTAATATTGTTTAAATATAAATGATTATGAATTCTAGGTGTATTGCATCAGAATTGAGCAAATTACGAGACATCAGAAGAGTATCATTTTGCATAAATTAACAAGGTCATTATAAATTAAGAAAACGTTGTTTTACAATATTTTATTTTTATTAAAATTTTCATTCACTGCCAACTTCTTGTACATTTATGTATAAATGTTGTAATTCAAAATCCTACGATGATAAGTTTGTATATAATAAGCACCGCGTATATATATATATATATATATATATATATATATTGTTGTGAATCAAATAATAATAACTTTAATTTTACAAAGATACATATAAAAAAACTTTTTATATTTTTCTAAAAATACTATTTTATTAATTATATATAGATGCAGCAATTCAGTTGTCATTTTAATTTATTATTTATCGTAAATTTATTTGCATGAAGTGCGATAAAAAAAGCAATATTCATCACACACGAAAAAAAAACTGGCTAAGCCACTTTATCAGATTTTCGAAATTTGGCAATATTTTGATATAAAAAGACGCTGAAAACCATGAGAAGTATCAGTTGCTATTGTAAAAAATAATAAATAACAGAAGATTTAAAAGAAAAAATTAAAAGATGTCCAAAATCATCGTAAGTATATAACTTTGTGTAACTATAATAAGCAATTAAGCTAATCTAACTTAGCGGAAACGATCGATCAAGGACTGTCAATCAACGTTTGGATGTTTTTATGCAACTAATGACATTGATATTCGCCTACGCATTGTCGCAAACATTGTTACATAATTTTTATTATTTACTTTGTTTATGTTTCAGTTGCTCGCATTAAGTATGACAATAGCACACAGTGCTAAATTGCCAATTCAAAATCCCGTGCATGATAATCACGTGCCTGTTCATCATCATGACCACACAGTTGATAGTAAACCAGTGGGAATTGTCCAGCAAGATTCAGAAGTTTTTCCTGATGGATCCTTCCACAATGTTTGGGAATCAGAAAATGGCATTAAAGTCCAAGAAGAAGCTACTGTCAAAGTCCTCGCTAAAAACACAATCGCTCATACCGTAAATGGAAGAATTGCATACACCGATTATGATGGTAATCTTTTTACGTTGACTTATGTTGCTGATGAAACCGGATTCCATCCTGAAGGAGAACATTTACCGACACCACCGCCAATTCCTCAAGCAATTGTAAGAGCACTCGAATACATCGCGGCCCATCCTCCTCCTAAGGATTCTTCATTCCATTCTGATTCTGCAACTGTAGAAGATAATTAAATTTATTGATAATTTTGCGGATTATCTGAATATAAGCGATTATAAAATAATAATATCTTATAATTTTGATAATTGTACTTTCTATGAATCTGAATAAAAGATAAAATCAATGAAATTGTTTGTATTTTATAAATAATTTTAGGTAAATTTAATTGAAATTCATCTATTGTAATCGTTAATAGGTGTAATTATAATCTAGTAAGCATCAAAATAAAAAAAAATTTGTAAATTAAGAAAAACTTACTTTATTTTCTTTTACACACAATAAAAAATTTCGCTGTAACAATAGACCCGGAGCATTTTACACAGCCATGTGGAATGAAATTTTTTCGGTGTATATAACTTTTCCATCCGTGTAATTTTAACACGGTGTAATCTACTTTTTTAGACACCATTGCGTATTATTTGATATATTTTTATTTAATTAATGAGCTACAATTGATCATTCAATATTTTCAATTACTTAATTTTTATTCTGAATTAATAACTATATTGATATTATTTGTATATTAAATTATATATATATATATATATATTAAGGTGTGCCAAAATTCAATTTCCGTGAAGAACCTTTGAAAATTGGAATTTTTAGTTCCGCTTTTAACAGGAGCTGTGTTTGGGCATTTCCTGAGATATTTTGGGTTGAGACGATTTATTTGATTTTCATAGAATTTTTAACAGGAGCTTTGTTTGGGTACTTCCGGCCAAATGCGAAAATTTCAGCGGAAATGCTTAGCTTACTTAAAGTTATTACTATTTCTGTCAATCTATAATCAAGTTTTCTCCTAAAAATATGAAATAGTTTAATTATTTATATAAAAGATCAATATCATTTAATAATGTTATTTTATAAAATCTTATTCTTTCAACATTAATTAATAATTATTTATAAGTTGGATACAAGATATTAATTGCTAATTTAATTTTAATATTTTTCATTGCAATATTATATAAAAGCAAGTTTAACTTAAATATTTTATTTAACAATTTTATTTTTAGTTACATATTAGTTACGGTAGTGTTTAGTCGTTGAAACAAGGGATCATAGAATTTTCTTCACACGTGTATTTATACCAGCCCACACAGGGATTCCAGGTAGTGAACTGGCTGATGAGCAAGCCAAACTAGCCCTCACAAGTGGAACTGACCTCACTAATCTCCCTGTCACGATCAGCGACTATAAAAGTAAAGTTAAAAGACATATCAACGCCCAATGGAACAACTTGTGGTCATCTGCAAAACCCACTCACCAACCCGAGATAAGAGGTAACATCTGGGAAACCCCCCCCCCCTTCCCCTTCAATTTAACTCAAGATCAAAACATTGTACATGTACACGTCTTAGAATAGGATACACATAATTTTCTCACGGACACCTAACTAACGGTTCCAACCCTGCCAATTGCCCAGGATGCAACGAAGTCATTTCAGTAAAACACCTCATCACCTGCTTAAGCTTGAACCAACAGAGAAATGCACAGCAGCTTCTCAACGAAATGGACCAAATCCTCAAAGACAGAAGTAAAATGAAACGATTTGTTGACATGATTAACAAAACGAAATTAAAAATATAGTTTGTATATAAAGTATTTATGGACTTACAGTCCTGATAATGATCTATCCATTTATTTGAAACTGTATTCTGATCCGTCGCCTAGGACCAAATAGTTAAAGCCACGTTAAATAAATTAAAACGTTAAATAAAATAAATAAAAAAATATTCTTCAACACAAAACTTAAACTTTCTAATTGGGACTGATTTCACTATTTAAATTAGAAATTAATAAAATATTAAAAATAATCTAAATTACATTTAAATTCGCGCTTTTCTGGCAGGTAGTGTCACCTGCTGGATGCATCTAGAGGCATCACATCATAAATATACAAATTTCATACGTCATGCAGTGTTATCACTAAACATATGTACGTGTTATTAAGAATGTGCTGTAATAATAAAAAAGTGATAAGATTATTATAAATTATAATATATTTAAGGGATGATATTAAAACAAATAAAAATAAAAGAATTAATATTCCAATTTAATTGATTAGGTTTGAATTATTTTTTGGTAAATACTAAAATTTAACAAATAATAAACTACTGTATGATTCATAACGTAATGTTTATGATTTTTTTTCAGTTTTATAAAGCTAAAAAAATAATATTTTCTCTATTTTACAATGCGCTATGGCGTGGTTATCAGATCTGGCTGGTAAGGCTGAAAATTTATTAAATAAAATTGACCAAAACACCGCTGCTGTATTGAGTAAAGATAAAAATGATGTAGTTTTACATGATCACCTCACAGATGTAACATGGGAACATAGGTGAGTAACTAAGTTAATTTTTAATATATGTATAATATTAAAAAAAAAAAAATTGTTCTATTTTTTTTTAATAATAATCATTTATCATTTTTCAGTTCGCCTAATCATTTATCTCAAAGCAATGGACGTTCTTTAAGTATAAACAATTTACAAACTTTCATTAATAGAGAGGATGAATTTAATTCTTGCTCTCACTCAGCAATGAACTCCCCTTCAAAACAATTAATCAGTAATTCAATACTCAATTCATCATCAACGCGATCCTCTTTATCAGTTGAACATTCAATTGATAATAAAGACGTTATTTCGGAATATTCCGCTGCCAGCAGTCGATCCTCACCAGATTTTCGACATACATTAATTGTTAACGTACCAGATGATGGCTATTTTCCTGAACCAGAAGATAGTTTGCCGTATACTGACTATCAGCAGGGTCAAATAACAATGGAAGAGTTTAAAAATGAAATAATACCTGAGAATATTGTGATACAAAATAAATTAGAAACTATGAAACAAATACATGATTTAACGACTGTTTCAAATTATGATAATTGTAAAACTTATAAAGTTATTCCAAATAATGGTCAAGAACAAGAAATTTTATTACCGAAGTATAATGATAATCAAAATGAAATTGAATTATTGAAAGAAAAATTACAATCACAAGAAATTGAAATAACACAGTACACAAGAGAAATTTCTGGTTTACAAATAGTATTAGAAAGAAATCGAATAGACTTACAGTCGACAAGGGAAGAATTAGAGCGACATAGAGCGAGGGCATTGAAGACATTGCAAGAAAAAGACAAATTAATCGCTGAACTAAAAAATAGTAATTTACCTGTTGTTGCTGATAGTACGAATATGGAACTTGATCAATTAAAACAAGAGTGTAGTTTACTTCGACAAGAAAATCAAGAATTGTCTCAACAGTTGAGAACTGCTCAAGAAGAATTGGTAAATGCTGATTTAAAAATTGAAGAAATTAACAAAAAAATTATTTTATCCAACAAAGAAGCGTATGGAATTATTTCCAGTGAAAAAAAGAAACGCGTTGAAGCTGAAGAAGATACCCGAGTACTCTTGGAAGTTAGTAATTTTCATGTATTGTCATTGGAAATAAATGAGTTATCTATTTTTTTTTTTTTTTTTTTTTTTTTTAATATTATATTTTTAATTTTTTTAGAAACTTCGAGTGCTCAAAGAAGAATTGGCTTTACAGAATGAAAACTTTTCTGCTAAATCACGAAAACAAGAAAATGAAATTTCACGTTTAAAATCACAATTATCAGCAATATCAACACCATCAAGTGCTGTTGAGTCACGATTGTCAGCACTGACTCAAACATTAGTTTCAAAACAGAATGAACTTGAAGCTTTGACTTCAGATAGAAATGCATTACGATTGCAATTAGAGAAAGTAATAATTTTATACTTGTACCTTAACAATTTTTTTTAATCAATATTGCAGGCCTCGTACCGCGAAGCGGATAAGGTGCTCTAATCTCGACACGTCAAAGTCAAGCAATTTTTTAATTTTCGTTGAGAAAGTATTAAATTTTCAAAAATTTCGAGTTATTATAAGGTAAAAGCCCCAATAGATGATCATGTACCAGTATGTGATCACTCTATGCATTTGTATACCTATATTTGGGAATATAGATTTACAAATACATGGAGTGATCATATACTGGCACATGATCATCTATTGGGACTTTTACCTTATTAGTTAAAAAATTAAAAAAAAAAATTTTTTTGAACTAACTCTTGGATTTCTTTGTAAATTATTGTTGAAATTTAAAAAATTTTCATACACTGTAAATTTTGCCAAAATAAATTGACTCTTTCAACAGATATCGATGTTTTAAAAAATGAAAATGATCAGTCTTTCTTATCCTTTCTCAACAAAAAGTTTTAAAATAAAACAAACAAATAAGTTTTTCTAAAAAAAATAACTAACAGTCTTGGCTATTTATAAGTTTTGTAAATTTACGTAACTTCTCCAAGAAATTAGATTTTGCAAAATTTTTGTTATAGTGATTCTCCTCATGAATCAGCGAAATGATTAAAAAAAAGATTAAAATCTCGTGGAGATAAAATTCCAAAAGTTTTAATTCGAGACCTAATATAAAAGTAATCAATGATTATTATAACAATATAATTTCAAAATTATTCATCTCCTTATCTTGATAGTTTTACGCATTATTTATTGAAGTAACATCTAGTTTCTTCTATTTTATATTTGATAAAAGTATTGAACTTATTTACTTCATAGAAATTTTAAATTTATAACATAAAAATTATGAAAGCAATTTTAAATTTAATTGATAACTATTGACTGGTCTTTGTGTTGATAGCATGAATATCGGCGGCTGGTCGGAACTACAAGAAAATCTTACAATGATAATGACGACACAAAATCTCAAGTTCCAACATTTTTAATAGAAACACCATTCGATACTGGCGTCACCCGCAGAGTTAAAAGAGCTTATTCTGCATTAGATACAATAAGTATCAGAATTGGAGTTTTTTTGAGACGATATCCTTTGGCACGAATATTTGTGATTATTTATATTGTAAGTAAATTACTATATTTAAAACTTAATAAAAAGAAAATTTGTTCTTAATAAATATTTAATTTTATTTCAGACTTTTCTTCAATTTTGGGTATTA